TATCCTTATATGATGAGTTTCAAAGCATTTCATCCAAAATTTAAAAGTTACGGCTATATCTATTATATTCGTCATTTCACGTGTTACAGGTGTGCGCACACGCACGCACGTGCGTGCAAAATGACCTTCGTTCCGCACATCTACATAACATACCTAGTGACCCTAAAAAGGTTTCACCTAGATCGGATGAGTAGTTTACGAGAACACTCGCGGACAAAAAAGTACCGGAGAACAAAGAAAAATTCAGAAAAAGTAAAAACAATATGTTCCCAAACTTCGTTTGGGGAACATAATAAGAAACCGAGTAAAAACAATATGTTCCCAAACTCCGTTTGGGGAACATAAATATTGCCGACTCGGCGTAAAACATGCACCAATACATGTAATCAATCAATCAAAATCTGGATGCTTACGGAGGAATAGATTATACCGTTAAAATATTATCAATTATATAACTTTTAGCAGAGAATGTTCTATGTTGTTAAATATATTAGCCGACCGATCTTTTTCGACAATATGAAGTTTCCAACGGAATAAATATTTCCATTTCTATTTGTTTTCTCTGTGATGACTCTTTAAAATTTATTAGACTTGATTTTGCCGGAATGTAAATTTTACCAAGAAATAGGTCAGGAGCTAAGGAACCCTTATATGCATGTAAATCTAATGCGTCTGTCTTTGTGTCTGACGCCAAGGATCGAGGCCCAATATGCGTATGCACGTGCGGCTGTCTTTGTGTTTGAAGTCAGTGAGCAGGGGACCTGCATTGATATTTACATGGGTAGCCTTATGTATTTTAAATATATGACATTTTTATGCGCCCGGATTGAAATTTGAATGTTTGAGACTTCATATTTGGTATGCATACTCCACTGATAAAACTCTTTCAAATGACACCAAGGTCAATGACCTTGTGACCTTGACTGTGACCTATATGCTAAAAATATTTTTTTTCTGCAAACTTTAACCTTCACCATAACTTTTGAACTGTAAAAGATAGAGACTTCATATTTGGTATGCATACACCACTGATTAAGCTCTTTTAAATGACACCATGGTCAATGACTGTGTCCTATATGCTAGATATAGCTTTTTAGAACCTTCACCATAACTATTGAACCATGAGAGAATGAGACTTCATATTTGGTATGCATACTTCACTACTCAAGTTCTTTCAAATGACACCAAGATCAATGACCTTGTGACCTTGACTGTGACCTATATGCTAAAAATATGTTTTTTTAACTTTGTTGCCGCGGGGCGCATAGTGTTTCACAAACACATCTTGTTAAAATCTAAATTTACATTTTTATGCCCCCGTAATTGAAGATTCGGGGGTATACAGTTTTTGCCTTGTCCGTCCGTCTGTCTAGCTGTTTGTCCGCCAAAAATTTAATCTTGCTCATAACTTTTGACTAGGTGGGGCTATAGCTTTAATATTTCACAGGTATACATCTTATGACAAGACCTTTTTAGATTACCATAAATTTGACCTTGAACTTGGAGTTTGACAAAAAAAACTTTTACACAAAAATACTGAACTTTTGTTTGTGACAAAATCTTTCATTGGATACCAACAAATTTGACCTTTTGACCTTGGAGATTGACCTACTTTAAAAAAACTTTAACCTGGGTCGTAACTTTTGAACGTTAAAGATTACGGCTTTCATGCTTCACATATATAATCTTTGTGACAAGATCTTTCCATTGGATACCAGCAAATTTGACCTTTTGACCTTGGAGATTGACCTACTTAAAAAAACTTTAACCTTGGCCATAACTTTTGAATGTTAGAGGCTAGAGCTTTCATACTTTACACATGTAATCCTTGTGACAAGATCTTTCATTGGATATGAACAACTTTGACCCTTTGACTTTGACCATTTACGTTTATCCTACTTTTAAAATACTTTAACCTTGGTCATAACTTTTGAACAGTCTGGGCTTTCATACTTTACACATGTAATCCTAGTGACAAGTCCTTGACCCTTGCGTTTGACCTACTTTCGAAAAACCTTGGCCATTACTTTTGAACAAGTGGTGCTAGGGATCTCATATTTCACAATTGTATTTCTTGTGAGAAGGCCTTACTTTGGATACCAGTTTAATTGATTTACATTTGAGAAAGTTGAACCTTCACCATGTTGCCATACGGGGGGCAACTAGTGTTTCACAAACGCATTTTTTTAAACCATTAAATGGAATTGTTATACCTCAACTGATTTTTCCCTATATAACATTCGATCGTTAGTATACAGTCGTATATATCATTGAGGGAGTTAGCAAGGTTCCAGTTCCTCAAGAGCAGGACTATTTCCCGAGGCGCAGCGCGCATGACTAGCTTTCGACGGATGGAGAACCTCAAAATTGTGTATTTATGGCAATAAATAATTATCGTTCTTGACTTCAATATTTGGAATTAAAAGATACATACCACGACCTCCCTCCCCCAAATATCATTATAACTTGCTACATATTTAAGAAAAAATTATGAATATTCTTATATAAATGATAAACTACACAGGAATGTAATACATTTTTTTTAGTTTTAACGTCTCTTGTAAAATCAATATGAAAAAGAGACAGTTAATCAATCCAGGCAAAAAAACCCCAGAAAATAACAAGAAAATTCAAAGCCGATTGTGATCCCACGCTTTCGGTGTCGTGGATGGATCCCATTATTTATAGCATCAACAAACAAGTTCACAGATGAAACAAGAATTTCAGCAGTTTCATTTAAAGTAATAATGTCGCAAGTTCTATGGTCGATACAATGACCTTTTCAGCAAATACAATTTATCACTGAGTCAAATGCTGACACATTTTCATACTAATTGTTGGTCCATTATTTGCACACTGACTTTTCCTTTATTTCCCGATCATGAAAAGGAGCCACATGGCGGGTGAGACCGGTCGGCAGGGGATGTTCACTCCTCCACGGCACCTGATCCCACATCTGATTTTTTGGAGGTCCGTGTTTGCTCTGCTCCTATTTTGTATTGTTCAATTGACTTTCGATCTTGAATACTGTTCGTTATCTCTATATATTTCACATTACGTCAAATTTATACGCCCTGTCATAAGACATGTAAAAGTTATCACGAAAAAAAGGAAAATTAGGTCAAACATGAAGGTCAACGTCAAGGTGTAAAATGTTTTTAGCATGCTCAGTTACAGGCAATGAACAGGTCAAATGTGAAAGTCCTATCTCTTTTTCATCAAAAGTTATAAGGAAAAATAACATTTTTGTAAATAGTTCAAACTTTAAGGACAATGAATCAGAAATCATAGTGTGTTTAGAAAGGTCTTGTCACAGGTAATATAGCAGTGTAATATGAAAGCCTTATCTCTTTTCATTCGAAATTTATGAACAAGGTTTAAGTTTTTGAAAAGTAGGTAAAAGCTTCAACGTCACAAAGTCAAAAATCATAGTGTGTTAAGAAAGGTCTTGTCACAGGTATTGGTACTTAGAGAAAGGTATTGTCACAGAGGATACACTTGTGAAACATGAAAGCCTGGGTACCAATCATTCACCATTATCATTTAAAAGTCATTTTCCATAATCTTTTAAAAGTCATGTTCAATAAAATAGTTTGGTATGAGGACAAACTTGAAGATCAAGGACAAAACTGAAAATACCCAATGGAATGACTTTTCACAATAAAATGAACAATCTGACTGCTTAAATTGAAATAGGCTGATTACATTTTTCATGTTTCCAAAAGAAACTTGCAGATCAATTAAAAACAAGAGGCCCAGGGGCCACATCGCTCACCTGAGCACATTGGCTAGGAAAAGGCACAGATCAAGTCAGAACTGAAAAATTTACTGAGGGGGGGGGGGGGGGTGACCATACAGATGTCCTACCCTCCCTACCCAAAAGGCCATGATTTGATCAATCTTCAATCATCAATACATGAGGATGCATACATGTCAATATGACTAAACATAGCTTTTCTGTTCTTGGGATTTTATCTTTATTTTATTTTACTAACTTTTCTATGTAAAACTTTGATCGACCATTGTTGCCCCACCCTATCCCTGGGAGGGGGGGGGGGTGTATGATTTGAACAAACTAAAATCTACACTAGGGAGGATAATTCCAAATAAATATCACTAATCATGGCTTTGATGTACTTAAGAAGAAGATTTAAAAAGATTTCCCTATATATTCCCATGTAAAACTTTGATCGACCATTGTGGCCCCGCCATACCCCCAGGGGTCATGATTTGAATAAACTTGAATCTACACTACCTGAGGATGATTCTACATGAGTTTCATCTTTCCTGGTCCAGTGGTTCTTGAGAAGAAGATTTTTCCTACATATTCCTATGTAAAACTTTGATCGACCATTGTGGCCCCATCCTACCCCCTGGGGTCATGATTTGAACAAACTTTAATCAACACTACCTGAGGATGATTCCACATGAGTTTCATCTTTCCTGGCCCACTGGTTCTTGAGAAGAAGATTTTTAAAGATTTTTCCTATATACTTCTGTGTAAAACTTTGATCGGCCATTGTGGCCCCACCCTACCCCCCGGGGGTCATGATTTGAACTTAAATCTACACTACCTGAAGATGATTCTACATGAGTTTCATCTTTCTTTTCTTAAATTCTATTAATTTTTCACTAATTCATAATTATCTCCCCTTGGAAGAGGGCATAGCCCTTCGTTTGAACAAACTTGAATCCCCTCCACCCAAGGATACTTTGTAGCAAGTGGTTCTTGAGAAGAAGATGAAAATGTGAAAAAAGTTTACGACGACGACAATGACAAAAGACAACGGACAAATTTTGATCAGAAAAGCTCACTTGAGCCTTCGGCTCAGGTGAGCTAAAAATTAATAAATGTTATAGTCTTCAGTTGCAGAAGAGTTTTTTCTTATTTTATTTCAAGGCAAATGAGTTGTTTTTTTTTTAAATTCAACATTAATCTTTGACAAGATTTTCAGAAAAATATTAAAGGGTAGATTCATATAATTTTTTCCCATTTTTTCATAAGAAGAAAATTGCTATTTTTAGTATCATTGCAGCAGAATGCAATTTACTAGTCTGGTCCTGATTTTTAAAAAGAAGGCTGGAAAATACTTCTAACGGCAAATAATTATTATTTGGTCCAGCATAGTTTTTTAGCCTAATTCGAGAATGCTGAATCCGAAAAAATATGCTGGCCTTCATGAAAATGGCGTTAAAGAGGTCAAAATGGCGATTCAAAATGGCGGACATCCAATTTTTCTAATTTTCTCTCAATATCGTTAAAAAAGGAGAAATAATGTGTGAATATCTTACTGAGTGTAATACAAGTATAAAAATGATAATAGAATGCTAACATTATTAGTTTTACTCAGAAAATTTAGCCGTTTTTACACTTAATTCGAATTTTCTCTGATTTATTTGTCTATTGTCTCTTTATTCTTCTTTGTTCAGGATTTTACATTTGCAAATATCCATACACTGCAAATTTGTATTTTTTCCTCTACATCTCACTATTCTACAATTGAATAATGGTGCAGCTGTAAGTTAAAAGTCAAAATGGCAATTCAAAATGGCGGATATTCCTTTTTTTCAAATTATTTCTTAATGTCGTTTACATAGGAGAAAGGATTTGTGAATGTCTTATTGAGCGATGTACAACTACGTAAAATTCCAATAGAACACTAGTATGATAACTTCAAATCGAAAAATTTAGTCGTTTAAATTTAAAATGTGTTATTTAGCTCAAAATGGCAATTCGAATGACGTTTTATACACTTGATTTCGTAAAATACCTAAACTGCTTAATTCTGATTTGTTTTGCAGAAAATAAATAACAGGTTTTTCTTTATTCATGAAATAATGTTCAAATATGTAATGAAAGTTAATGGATATTTTCATTAATGACTCAGGATTTTTATAAAACGGATTTGTTTAATTACTTCTATTATTAAGATAAATTTTTGACGACAATTCCGAAGACATTTCTCCTATTATCCGTCATACATGTTTCATGCTTCTTCATATAAAAAGTTAATAATATCATACAATAATTGCTGTTTTGAGGACAATTTGAAAATTAAGCTACCCCAGAAGCAGTATTCACCGAGCATTAAGGCGAGTGAACATTGTAGTTCGAGGGTTGCTAAATCATATAAGTTGTTGGAAATCCTTGATCTAATTTTAGTACAGTGTAGAAAAAAATGTTTATGTTCATGTGGAAGATCTAGTGCAACATAACTTAGTATGATTTTTTAAATGATGAACCACAAGCAATTAGAGGGCTAGTAATTGTTACATCATATAAATCTGAATATATTATAATATCCAAACATAAACTATTAAGAATTATCAGTATAATATACGTAAACCATAAATTTTTTTGATTGTCCAGCTCTGATTCTCTGTCCCTACATTTGCATTTTGTTATTCTCAGTCAAAAATTCAACTGCATTCTCAAATATTTCATGGTGTGAACGGTCCTCCTCCACCAATTTTGTATTGAACAGTGTATATAAATTTAAAAATTTTGAAATTTACTTGAAATTTACAAAATCTGAAAGAAGAAAATGTTTGTGTTCAATCCTCCCTCGATTCTTGATACAACTTTACACTATCCTAACGAAGAAGTGTGGATCAAGTTGCCTTGTAAAGTTCTTGGAGTGTTCAAGAAAATTTTGTTGTCAAGAGAAGTGTTGACTAGATCGAAGTCAAGAATGGCTTAGGCCTATTGGCACGAAAGCTTGTAAGTGATAGGAATCACGAGGAATCTGCAGGCGCTATTAAATTGCATAATTTTACAACTTTTCTCACCAAAATATGCACACAATGTGATTCCACATGATGAAGTTTGAGAATTTTTTTGCTAATAGAATGACCTTTCTACCCTAAAAGAAAACAAATCTATACGCGGTCACGAAATAAACAGCTACATGTCTTGAATATCAGATATTTTTTTACCCCCCCCCCCCCTTCCAATTGAAAAGCGGGAGGGTATAGAGTAGTCGGTATATCCGTCCGTCCGTCTTTTACGCTTTGGGGTACCCGTCTCTTATCCGCAACTCGTCTCATACTACTGAATGAAATTTGATAAACTTTCACAGAATCTTTGTTACATATTGCCATTGTGCACCTCCTCTTTTAATTTTTGATCCAACACATATTTTGGGTTTCACATAGCAAAACATGGACACTGTGTATTCATATGGGTGACGAGGGTATCATTTAGTGAGCTAATTGCTCACAGTACCTCTTCTTCATTTTGCGTAAGGTTTTGGAAAACAAAATAGACTTTTAACATTTGAACATAAATGTATTGTTCCTTGAGTGTTGATTGACTGTATATTGTTTAACGCCGAGTCGGCTATTTTTCAGCCATGTTTCGGCGGACTATCAGTTTGAATAATCGGTTTTTGGAGGATTTTGGTTCTCTAGTGACCCCCTGTGAGCTTACTCGTTTTCGAACTCCAGAGAAAAGATCTTTTACGTGCCAAGTGGGTTGTAATCCTTGACACAGGGCACCTTTTTACTTGAGTGTTGAAAATACCAAAATTCCGAAGACAGAGTGAAACATATAAAATAAAGCTGAAATAGATGTTAGGGGATAATACTAAGTTCTTATAAGTGCTGAAAAGCATTCGATGAAATCGGAAAAGAATTTCCTCAAATATATTTGATGGTGTGCTGAGGGATGTTGAGGTAGAAATGCGAGTTGATAAAGACTGGATTCAGGGGTGATTTTAGGTGGACGGGGGCTCAAAGGCTTTGGAACACGGTCAAATACGAGGGGGAAAATTTGGAAACTCTTAAGTCGAGTTTGTTTTAACTATTTCCAGAAAAAAAGAATCTTTTCTGATATTTTTTTTTTGTTCATATTTAATGGAATAATCAATATACTATAATTATATATAAAAAAACAAAGTGTAATTTATTTTCAAAATCAAGCAGTTTGAGTATTTTACGAAATTCGAGTGAATATGACGTCATTTTGAGTTTTGAGCTAATTAACACATTTAAACTTAAAAGATTAAATTTTCCGTTTTAAAGTGTTCATATTAGTGTTCTACTGGAATTTTACATTAGTTAATTGTACTCGCTCAGTAAGATATTCACAAATCATTTCTCCTATGTAAACGACATTAAGAAATAATTTGAAAAAAAGGAATATCCGCCATTTTGAATCGCCATTTTGACTTTTAACTTACAGCTGCACCATTATTCAATTGTAGAATAGTGAGATGTAGAGGAAAAAATACAAATTTGCAGTGTATGGATATTTGCAAATGTAAAATCCTGAACAAAGAAGAATAAAGAGACAATAGACAAATAAATCAGAGAAAATTCGAATTAAGTGTAAAAACGGCTAAATTTTCTGAGTAAAACTAATAATGTTAGCATTCTATTATCATTTTTATACTTGTATTACACTCAGTAAGATATTCACACATTATTTCTTCTTTTTTAACGATATTGAGAGAAAATTAGAAAAATTGGATGTCCACCATTTTGAATCGCCATTTTGACCTCTTTAACGCCATTTTCATGAAGGCCAGCATATTTTTTCGGATTCAGCATACTCGAATTAGGCTAAAAAACTATGCTGGACCAAATAAGAATTATTTGCCATCAGAAGTATTTTTTTCTAAAAATCGGACCAGACTATACTGTGAATACAATTTTCTGAAGCAAAGTATTTGATAAATATAGACATAATATTACACATAAAATATATGGTCTTGATCACAGAATCATTTCTCCACCACATTTTACCATGCTTTTTTTGACACACATTTAAAAAAAAAAAATAAAACAACCCATCCTATGACCTGGATTTATTTATTTTTTTTTCTTAGGTACACAGTCTTTACTTTCCAGGAAGAATGATACCATCATACTGAAAAAGAAAAAAATTAAAATTAATACCCCCCAAAAAATGTCATGTTTTGTCAGGTTCCACGCAGTAAATATATAAACGAGGTTCAACCAGATGCCATTGGGAAAAGTCAGGCTAGGCATGCGCGAGAATGCTAGAGAGTTCACTCTTTAGACAACATGCCCGTAGAATAATTCGCTCTTTTCGAATTAGAATATGCCATTCATTGGCAAATCTTTCTTTAAAATCTGCATATCATATTTATATATTCATTGGCAGATGCCAATTTCTTTATTATACATAATTATATTTTATGTATAAACTAAACATTGATTCTATGGCGCAAGCTTTTTAAGGAAGAACTTGCAATATATAGATACATGTAACTTAAGAACTTGAATTATAAACTTCATTCAAGGACTAGTTCTAGGTTTTAAAAGGACAAGTCTTCACCGGTATTAGTTTTGTGCATGAAGGCTCGTAATATAATTTGATATACAGCAATCCAAGACATCCTTGATACAAGCCTGTAGCAACAGTTTTCCATGTGGGGGAGGGGGGTCTCCGAAAAAATAGCATAGTACAGAGCTGTGCTACACAAGTGTCATTAGATCTATTTTTCTAATGATAAATTTCTTCAATACAAATCCAGAACAGATGTCAAGTCACAGCCATTTTGGGTGGGTTACATTATCAACATAGTCTGATTTTTTAAAATGACAAAACTATAGGTCAATCAGAAATAAAATTTAACAATTTTAAAAATATTATCAGTCAAAGTAGGCAGATCATTGTAGAAAATGTAAACGAATCTACCTGAATATTCAATAAACTTAGAAATTGTTTTTAATAGAATTTCATTTAGAAATGAGTGCATATGGTCCATGTAATGCAGTCCAGGAGAGCAACTTGTTTCTATCATTGTTGACACAACTTATAAACCTCCTCTTTTTTGTTTTAGTGATAACCTTGAAAACAATTAACAGAAAATGCGGATTTGAATTTTCAGGTCTGATCTTTTTTCTGAACTAACACTAGCCAAAATTGTATACCCTCACATTAAATTATTTTAAGTAAAATGATCATTTTTATTGTACATTGATTACATGAATATGACATTTAGTATATTTTAGCTTAGATTATTTGTATCATTTAACAATTAACGAACTCAGTTATGTATTTGATCTGTTGTAATTCATGTAGTAAGACATTGAAGCCATTTATATGCATTTTATTTCTTATTAATTAAACTTTAATACTGACTTCTATTATTATCTATTCTCATTATCGATCATGCCAAAATATATATGTAAGAGAATAAGAATTAGTCTAATCCAGATGTTGTGTCCTGCCTAATACTGCAAAATGAGAAAAGGATCACTTCATTATACCCCCCGCTTGAAAAGCGGGAGGGTATATAGTAATCGTTAATTTCGTCCGTCTGTCCGTCCGTCCGTCCGTCTGTTACGCTTTGGGGTACCCATCTCTTATCCGCAACTCCTCTTATACTACTGAGTGAAATTTAATGAGACTTTCACAGAATCTTTATTACATATTGCCATTGTGCACCTCCTATTCTACTTTTTTATTCGACAGGTATTTTAGGTTTCCCATAGCAAAACATGGACATTGCCATTATATTCTATATTTATATCCTATCACGTCACCTATAGAAGCTTCTGGATAACATTTGATAAGACGAGTTATTCCTCTTTACACATTAAACACGCATAAAACAATAGCAAAACATCGAAATTATGGGAGGCGGGGGGTATCATTTAGTGAGCTCATTGCTCACAGTACCTCTAGTTATAGATAGGGATCTGACCTATAGGACTGGGCTTGGTTTTATTCTCTTCAAAAAGCTTGTGGATTTCCGTTCTGATTTCCGTTCTGATTAATGACATAAGGCTAAATACATATAACAATTTGTTTTCCTAAATCTTTATTTCAATGAGTAGAGGTAGGAGGAAGCCTTTCATTGATTTTCTAAGTTTGTTATCTCCAAATGTAATGATTGATATTTTTCTTTACTTCTCATTGTGCATAATGGTAATGTCGACTGTATCTCTACTAGTTCGTATTTGTAATAAAGGAAGAGAAACGTAGCAGTTGGGACATAAAACTTTACAGAAGCAATAAACAGAATAAAGATCCTTGATTAAGTCTCTTTTTGTGGCAAGATTGCAATAAGACTACAACTGCAGGAGTACCTTTTAATAAAATTTTACAGCATTTTCAATTTTAGTTACCATGGCAACATCGTTCATCAAAAACACAAAACTAATAATTATGTATCTCAGTGTAGTCTACTTGCATGCCAAATTATATTATAATCAGACTACAACTGTATTTGGAGTGGCATTTTGAAAGTATTTTACAGAAATTTCTATTTTATGTAACCAAGGCAACACGTTCATCGAAATTGAAAACTGATAAACAGAATGATGTATCTTAGTGTAGTCTACTTGTATGCCAAGTTATATTGAAATCAGAACAAATCTGTAGGAGGAGTAGCATTTGAAAATTCACATAAATGTCTATTTTAGTAACCATGGCAACACTATTCATCGAAATCTAGAAACCAACTACAGAATTATGTATCCTAGTTAAATCTACTTGTGTGCCAAATTATGCTGAAATCAAACCAAAACTGTAAGAGGGGTAGCATTTTAAAACTATTTCACAAAAAATTTCTATTTTTAGTAAGCACAGCAACACCGTTCATTGAAATCAAAAACCAATTATTAGAATTATGTATCCTAGTGTAGTCTACTTGTGTGCTAAGTTATATTGAAATCAGACCAAAACTATAGGAGGAGTAGCATTTTGAAAATTGTTTACAGACAGACAGACGACAGATCATTACTATCGCACAAGCTCTTCTGGTCTCTGACCAGTCGAGCTAAAAACTCTCTTTATTGAACTTCAAAATTATTTTTCATTCCAAATCTCCTAACATTTGTATTTTTTTCTGTTTGCAAATTTCTCCTAAATGTTTTATACCTTCTGCTGAAACCATTTCATGGCTTCCTCTTTTGAAATCTTGTGCTGTGGACCTATCTTACTTTTTCTCTGTCGTCTGTATGCAATGTTGAAACCTGTAAAACAGTATATTTTACATCATTATTCATTGCTACCACGTTGATCTATATGCAAATTAAATTTTGCAAACAATTACCAATTATCAAATCTGAATGATGTCAAAATTGTATTTTAAATCCCCTTTCCAACCAAAAACTTCAAAAGCCTGGAGAGCTTCAAAGACATCATATTTTAAGATAAAACAAGATGTGTTTGTGAAACACTGCTGCCCCTGTATGGCAGCTTAAGGCCAGGGTTGAATTTTCTCAAATTCATACATGTCAAACTCCAAAATTCAAGGTCAAAATTGCTAGTACCTAAAGGAAGATCTCGTTACAAGGAATACACCTGTGAAATTTGAAAGCCCTTCTTCTAACTGTTCAAAAGTTATGGCCAAGGTTAAATTTTTTAAAAAGGGTCAAACAGTAAGGTCAAAGATATTTATTCCCACTGAAAGGTCTTGTCACAATGAATACACTTGTGAAGTATCATGTGCACGAACAGTTCAAAAGTTATGACCAAGATAAAAGAGATAATTTTTTGTAAAAGGGCCCAGCTCTAAGGTCAAGAGGTCAAATTTGGTGGTACCCAATGAAGGTCTTGTCACAAGGAATATACCTGTGAAATACGAAAGCCATAGTGCCACCTACTCAAAAGTTTTGAGCAAGGTTAAAGTTTCTGCTGACAAAAAGAAAGAGGAACAAACAGATGGACAGACAGAAAGGGCAAAAACTATTAATCCCTTACATGGCTTTTTTCCCTACAAGTTTCAACTTTAATTTTGGCCCTACCCTACCCCCAATTATTCATGATTTAAACAAATTTGAATCTACACAATCATGGCTTGTTGTTCATGAGCAGATTTTTCCTACATATTCCTCTATAAAATTTTTATTGTCCATTGTGGCCCCACTATACCCCCAGGGGTCATGATTTGAACAAATTTGAATCTACACTACCATATAAATATGACCAATCATGGCTTTGTAGTTCTTGAGAAGATTTTTGAAGTTTTTCCCTGTATATTCTATGTAAAAATTTATAGTTCATTGTGGCCTCACCCTACCCCTGGGGGTCATGATTTGATCAAACTTGAATCTACATTACCAGAGAATGCTTAAAAAAAATTGACCAATCATGGCTTTGCTGTTCTAGGGGAGAAGATTTTATCTATATTCCTATATAAAACTTTGATCGTACATTGGGGCTCCATCCTACCCCCGGGGGTCATGATTTAACTTGAATCTACACTACCAGAGGATGCTTCCATAAAAATATGACTGATCATAGCTTTTCTGTTCTTGAGGTGAAGATTTTTAAACAATTTTCCTACATATTCCTATGTAAAATTTCAATCGTCCATTGTGGCCTCACCCTACCCACAAAGGTCAAGATTTAAACAAACTTGAAACTGCACTACCTGAGCATGCACCCTTATAAGTATATCAAATCAAGGCTTTAATGTTGTTGAGAAAGTTTATTATTGATATTTCCATGCTTTGAAATTTAAAAGTTTGATTGCTCATTGTCCCCCATCCTACCCCTGGGGGCACCGGTCATGATTTGAGCAAACTTGATTCTACTTTACCTAGGTATGCCTTCATTTAAAATGTAAATATTAGGAATGTTTTTAAGTTTAGTGTGAATTATTGGTGTGTTAAATCACACAGACTTGCACGTAGGCATATTTTTCATGAAGCATTAGCACGCTTCATGAAATATGCCTATGTGACAAGTCTGTGTGATTTTCACACCAATAACTCACACAAAACTTAAAACATTCCTTCTATTTACATTTTTAAAACATGTTTGAAACCATCAACAAGAGGCCCACGGGCCTTATAGGTCACCTGAGCATTATGCAACAACTTTCCAGTTACAGTGCAGGGTTCGACACTAACGCTAGCCCGCTGGCCCGGGACAACTGAATATTGAAGTTGGGCTACCAAACATGTCTTTAAACTTGCCCTGCAGGGCTACAGTAAATTTTACCAATTACTCACTAAGAGCAAGAAAAATAAATATAATTTACATACAATATACCTGATAATTGTTAAATTTATTTTCAAATATGTTTTATCAGCATAATTATAATTTTTTAAGTCAAAAATGTAAACTTTAAAGGTGATTCAAAATACCCTAAATGATATAAATATAGAATTTTTCGAACAGTAAAAATGTCTTAGGTACAATCATAGAGAGACATATAATTTACACCCAAAATTCAGCCAGAATGCTGGATTTCACATCTCTATTTTCAAAATTTTCCGGGGGAGGCCCCCTGTACCCCCACCAGCAGGAGGGGGAAACCCCCTCCCGCACATACACCCCTCGTCGCTTCGCGACTCGGCCAGCAGCCTTTGGCTGCTGGACAACTAATAGATGAACAGGGCTAGTAAAAATTAGAAATTACTAGCCCTGCTGACAACTATGGTTTTAAAGTTAGTGTCGATCCCTGCAGTGTATTGAATTTGATTCATGTTTTAAGCCAGATGCTATATGGCATTCACAATTTTGAAAGAGGCACCATTGATCATCATAACAATACACTTAGCAGTTGCTTAGCTTGGTTACTGAATACCCATACGCAGGGTAGGGGAACATAAATGCACTCCAACAAATCAGTAATATTCAGCAATAATCAGTAGTGCCCCTAACACTGTGACATAAACCCCTGACCTTAGGTCCACACATTGCACAAATTTTTAAAAGGCACCCTTAAAATTGCCTATCCAAAAATAAATAAATGTTTTATAAATACAAAGGAGCAGATTTCAAACAATTAATTCATTTTCAGTATATAAGTAGGACCCCCCCACCCCCACCCCACCCCTGACCCTGGGGCCTTGAAATTCACAATTCTGCAAGATTAGGGCCCTTGCTCATCATCACTATATAGGTAGTTCATCTGCTTTATATCCAGAGTCAGAAAAGGAAATTTTCAAAGACTTAATGTATTTTCACTATATAATCAATAGAGCCCCACCCTAACATCAGAACCCCAGACCCTGGGGTCATAAAATTCATAATTTTAGAAGAGGCATTATTGCTCATCATAACTACGTACTTAGTTAGTTTATTTAATTCCTAGGAGCAGAGGAGAAGATTTTCAAAGAATTCATGTATTTTCACTATTTATAATCAATAGAGCCCTCCCCCCTCCCCCAAACACCAGATTCCTTGACCCTGGCGCCATAAAATTCACAATTTTGGTTGAGGCACTCTTGCTCATCATAACTATGTACTTAGTTAGTTTATTTAATACCTAGGAGCAGAGAAGAAGATTTTCAAAGAATTCATGTATTTTCACTATATAATCAATAGAGCCCCACCCCAACACTAGAACCATTGACCCTGGGGCCATAAAATTCACAATTTTGGTAGAGGCACTCTTGTTCATCATAACTATGTACTTAGTTAGTTTATTTAATACCTAGGAGCAGAGAAGAGGATTTTCAAATAATTCATGTATTTTCACTATTTATAATCAATAGAGCCCCACCCTAACACCAGAACCCCTGACCCTGGGGCCATAAAATTCACAATTTTGGTAGAGGCACTCTTGCTCATCATAACTATGTACTTAGTTAGTTTATTTAATACAGTGGCTGGAACGTTATTGTTGACAAACCAATCGTGTAGAATCGTTCGTGTATCGTGAGTGATCGTTCGTGTAACGTGCAAGATCGTTCGTGTATCAGACTCAATCGTGTGCGTTTTTAATCGTACGAGATCGTGCGTTTAGAATCGTGTAAATTTCGTTTTGTAAGTTTTTATCGTAATGTTATTTGTAAAATAAGCATTTTCCTTTTTTTTGTTTTTCTTAATTTATTGATTAAAATCCAAATAAAATGAAAAAGCGCAATTTACATAAAAGAATGCAGAACGAACTAATTATCGCCCATAAACAAGCAATATAGTAAGTCGTACAATATTAAGTTCTCGTCAAATAGCGCGATAAATATTGTGATAAACCGTACTTAGATCTTTAACGCCTTTTTGAAAAATCTGATTTTAATTATTATTTACTTCTTATTGTGGTCAAGATAATCTTGAAATCAATTCATTGAAAGTAAATATATATATATATATATTTTACAAAGAAATAAACATTTCTCAATGCTTACATAACTAGTTAGTCGACAAATATACATGGACATGGCATGATTTTCGGGAGTTTTGATTATCTGTGTTTATCTCTTGAGCCTATTTGTAATTAATTAATTTTAAATTTCTGCAAATAAAAAAGTTGAATAATTGGCAAGTTTATCAGACATTGAATCATTGGAAACATAAGGATAATTATAATTTAAGTCATTCCATGCTGCCATTTTTGTTCAATTGTATCCCCCTTTCTGCATATCATGATATCCAATTCAATCAAATTATACGACCCACATACATGTACATCGTATAATAGAACGAACAAAATCCGTTTTTTTTTTTATCGGAGAATTACCTTAGAAATAATTATTTTTAATCTAACATATTAAGTCTTGCATATATTTAGTTACAGAAATAACATTTTCCGTTTTTTTCTTCAAAGTCTATGAAACTAGTGCTGATTGTAACGGGGACCGTTTGCATGTTTCCCCAACGCTCCCCAACTCCCTTTTGGTGCCATATTCCCTGTAAACTTCATTAAATAAGACAAACTCGATGCATTTGAGACTTTACCAACGTTTACCCAGAAGTGTACCAAGTTCATTCAAATTTTAGCATCGAACGCGTGCGCATGTGAATGCATGTGCGTTATGACCATATCATCTTGCCTATACAATCTATATATTTAAATATGCTAAATATTAAAGTATTTAATCCAAAAGTATTAAAAAATATGCTCATTCAAGTGTATTTTTGATTTTACTCATTTCACGTGCACGCACGTGCATACATGAGCATGGTAACCATACCTTCTTGTAAAAGTCCATTATGTCTATCTATGTTCTAAATCCCATGCTGTTTGGTTGAAAACCAAGGGAGTTATAGTCATTTAAAGTTTCAGCCAATCAGATTGCAGCGCACGTGCATGTGCGTGAT